GGGGGCAGCGGAGGGGGGGGGGGCAGAGTTTGAGGAAGCCTTAGGCCAGAGAAGAGAGCACTTAAGCCATTTAGATGCCAATCTTGGGACCAGTTGTGGTTATTTCATTACTGCCTGTAACACAGCTGTTGCAAGCGTGGTAATTTAACTATACTGATGACACAAAGATGTCGGGTGTCATCGGTGTGGGAGAGGATGGGGCAGTTGCAAAGGAATAGCTAAGTATAACTGGGAATGGGCTGGAGTTCAGAGATTCAGTATGCCAGGGTACACACTTGGAAGGTAATAGCAGAAACAAATCTGCCATGAGAAGGTCATCGATGAACAGTCATGGTGGAGGAGCCATCATGCAGTTCAGCTGCCACAGGACTGAGCTGCTGTTGCAATGCAGCTGTGAAAAAGGCAAATGCGGGTGGTGCTTTGGGAGGGATTTCCTATTCTTCTGGAGAAGTGTTGATGTCATTGTATATGGCCTGTGAGGTGTCGTCTGAACTAGCGTGCATAATTCTGTAACTTGTGCTTGGGGGAAATAAACTCAGTAAGTGCAGAGAAAAGCCATTCAGAAGACTGAGGGTGCAGACTGTGAAAGTGTTTGGTTTGTGAGAAGGAGAGTGTGTCCTGGTGGTTACTTCAGGGAGAGAGAAAAACTTCTGCTGGAAAAGAGCAGTGTTAACACAAGAACAAATAGGTCTATACTGATCACAGATAAATTCAGACTGAAAATTGAGTGAGGAATGTCAAAAAGTGCAGGAAGGCCTGGGAGAGACTCTTCATGAGTCACGGGTGTGCAAGGATACCCACCTGCTTTGACCAAGGACCTGAAGAGTCTGACAGGTGGCATGAGCTCAGTGATGCCAGGCAGCCTCTGGCTCCTCGTTCTGTTGTTGCTAATTGTATGTATCCTATGTTTAACCAGGCTTTGGTGCAGGGCTCTCAGGCTCTTTCAAAAAAAATGAGAACTATTTGTGTAGTAAATTGGTTGCCAAATATTATGAAGCACTGCAGAGATGCTGCGTATGTTTCAGGTATGACTGGCAGCGGGATTTTTATTTGCAGGGTTTGCAGTTATATCCACTGTAGCAGGAAGGGAACAGATGGAAGGGGCAGAGACCTGCATTAACTGACATTGTCTCACCTGCAGAGCCAACCCACCCTCACTGAGGAAAAGTCCAAGAAGCTAAAGAGACGGCCGCAGATGAAGCGCAGGTCGCAGGCGGAGGTGATGAAGGAGCGAGAGGACGAGTGTTTCAGCTGTGGGGACGGAGGGCAGCTAGTTTCTTGTAAGAAGCCAGGCTGCCCCAAGGTGTACCACGCAGACTGCCTCAACCTGACCAAGAGACCTGCAGGTCAGTGATCTGCACAGCTGGGCTCTGCTTGGGTCACCGTGTTGGCTCGAGGTGTCCCAGGTGCTGCTCATCACCTTGCACTCACTTCACAGCATCTTAAAATGCAGAGAAATCTTTCTCACTTGAACAGACCTTGTGGCCCACACAACCCTGGTTTGCACCCCACTGTGACTGCAAAAAGATGAGTTGATTGCCGAAGGGGGAGCTGGTCCTTGCCTAAGAAATGGTGCTTGTGAGCTGACCCCATCCTTGGGGCCTGGCAGAGGACAGTCCCAACAATAGTTGAGGTTTTTGTTCCTCAGATTGGCCGTTTTCCCAAAGTTGAAGACAACTGAGTGAGTTGAATGGTGAGGAAAAGCACTGATGGAAAATCGTAGAGAGGAATGTGTTAGGTGTCTGAATAGCCATAAGTTCATGGTCAAGGAAGAGAATGCTATCAAAGCATATCCTAGTTTGTGGTGAAATCTGAGAACAGAAATTTGAAATAAAAAGAAAAGATACTTGAAAAGTACTTCTCCTTGGGTGCAAAGAAAGAAATAGGCTCCCTGTATGAGTGATAAAACAGCTCTGAGTTCATTAGTAGCTCAAGAGGTGTAAAGTAACATCTATTAGAGGGAGAAATTTAAGTTGCATTTAAAAATTGTAAGGGAGCTGGTTATGGGGCGTGTTTCCTCTGTTGTTTCAAGTTGTCTTGGTTACTAAAGGAGCTCCTGCAACCTTTGATGAGTGTTCAGGTTTAACCAGTGCACAGAAAGGGAAAAAGTCTGACCTTAGTCTTGGTAGGCCAGTTAACTCGATGTCTCCCAGGCCAGGAGGATGGAAAAGCTGATAGGGATCAAGTGCCTAAAGAATTAAATGGTAAGAATACAAACAATACTAGGTGACAAGTTTTTAGGTAGAAAAACTCATCAAACCTAATTTAGGGTTTTTTGCTAAGATAATAAATGTGGTTAATAAAAGCAACTGCATTGAAGTAATTTGTTTAGGGGGCTGTAAATCTTTTGATTTAATACTGTAAGCATTGTCATAATTAGAAATTCTCTGTGCAGCTCTGTACAGTATTTTCTGAACACATCGGAGGCAGGCTGAGAAACATGGAACCAAGCGGTATCTGAAAGTAACTGCCAGGAGAGTCACTGTGACAAGAGTGTTTCTGTCGGCACACCGTGGGGAGCCAGAACTGGGCATTCAGCACCTCTAGCTGTAATTTGGCAGAAGGTGTAGAAGGGCTAGTAGCATATTTTGTAGATGACAGAAATTTTGTGTGTGCACGTGTTAAGTTTTGGGGAGAATAGGGCATTTATACAGAAGAGCTTGGATGGCTCATTGAACAAACGCTGTAACAGCAATGTTAAAGCCAACGGGAGTGCAGGTCATTGCTATGGAACATCATCATGCAGGGTGAGGGAGTCCTGAATATCACCTTTCTGTCTGTTTTTGTGTGCTAAGACAGGGTGCTGTAACATCCTGGCAGGTTTTCCTATGCTTTAAAGTCTCCAATAAAGGAGAATCCAGCCTTTAGCCTGTTCCCCTGCTTTGCATATGAAAAGTTTCTCCTAACAGCCTGACTTGAAAAAAACAAAGGATTGTCATCTCTCCAATACCAACCCCCCCCCACCTCCCCTTTTTTTTTTTTTTTTAACATACTGGGAGACTGTTATCTCCTTAGTCCTTTTCGGGCTTAAACACAGTCTCTCCTTGCAGCCCTTATTTTCTAAAATTATTATTCCTGGTCTGCTCTGGACTGTGTCCCACTTGCCTACACATTTTTAAAACTGTGGTAACAAGTATAACAGTATTGCAGCTGAGGCCTTGCTAACACCAACAGAAGAGAATGATTATATTTTGTGTTTTACATAAAAATTCTCAGGAAATGAGATTTGGCTTGTTTTGCAAAAATAACTTTTGTATTTATGTGATGTTTGTGATTTGCTCTGTCATCCTTGAGTCTTTGTCTTGATCCTTTTCACATACTTTATTTCTCCCTCCTGCAGTCCAGCTTTGCACTGGTCTTTAATTGCATCTTGTTGGTGCAAGAGCATCTGTCCATTTTAAATTCTGAACGTGAATCTGGTTAGAACCAGATTTTTGCAGTCCCTCAAAGCCTTGTTGTTATCTACCTGTTTCTGTAAGAGTATTTGCTGTTCTGCTTCCAGAAATTTAAAATAAAATACAGACTAAAATAGGGTCCTGAAGGATGTCATTGGAAACGCCTCCTCAGTTTGCCAGAAGACCGTTAATAGCTGTTTTCTGAGAATGATTTTCAGTCAGTTGTAGCCCTTTTTACTCTTATTACACATAGGCTGCTATTTTCATAGCCCGCTCCTTAGAGTATTGTGCAGGACATGAAAGGTTCAGCACTTTTTACTTCAAATGTTTCCTCTGCCATGGGCACTGCTGTCGAGTTAATTGGAATTTCCTGCTTGTTTGCATGTTACTAATTGTGTGATCTTACTTCCGACAGCTCCAGGCTGTCTCTGGAGAGGCTGCTTATTCATTAGGCCTTTTATCCTGTCAAAGACCATTAGAGTGGGTTGATAGGATTTATCCTTCCTGCAACATACTGGCAGGTTTTGACTTATTTTGTTTTTCCATCCGTACAAATGACCTCTACAACAGTAGTCCCAGAGTCTTCCCAGTGGCCAAAGTGAGTGCTGAGTGTGGCTGTCTGGGTTGCTGATGCTGCGGGAGGAGCAGCGACAGCCTGTGCTGCAGCACTGTGAGCACCGAAGGGGGAAAACCACATGTAGTGTTAAACATCCCCACTCTGAAAAGGATGCTGAAAAATTGGAAAAGACACAGAAAAGCAGTGTACATATTTTGAGACCAGAACAGAAGCCTTAGACTAGCTTCAAAAGGGGAAAAACATGATACGTGTTGTCTTCAATCAAGGGGAAAAGCAGCATGCGAGAGGAGAGTGGAGAACTGGTGTTGCACAAGTGCATGGAGAAGTGCCCACAGCTGCTCAGTGCTGTGCTGTGGCCATGCTGTCTTCCAGCCTCCCTGGAAAAGAGCTGGTAGCCAAAGCCATGGATGTGTGGGCTTGGTTCAGGGAGGCTGGGAAGTGCTGTGGCCTGGCTGGTGTCCACAGCTGCCCTCCATCACCACTTGCGCTCTGAAGCACAGGCTGCCCCGTGCGACGGCTGGTCTGCAAGGAGCTGCTCTTCGCAGCAAGGCAGGAAGCTGGGGGGGGCCATGGGGCTATGGGTGTTGGGGGGAGCATGGAGGCAGGAGGCGCATTTGGAAAGACACCCATGCTGATCCTATGGTGAGAGGTCAGGAACTTGGCATTGTGTATGCTGGGTGCAAATGGTCTCACTGTTCTTGTGTCCACGAACTGGTGAGAAGCGTTTGGTAGAGACGGCAGCAGCCTTGGCTGGGGAGCAGGGAGGCTGAACCAGTGAGGTCATCTACAGTTGAAAAAAGCAGCAATATCTAAAGTGTAATGTTGTTCCTCTGTGATGGTGTTGATACTGATGGTGGGTAGATTCAGCATGGACATGGAGCTCCTCAGGGAGCAGCTTGGCTTTGTATTAAGCAGTATTTTTATCATGGCCATACAGAGAGGTTAAGGAAGGTGCCTTTCGGTACAGAGACAATAGAAGCTTACTCCCTTGTGATCACTGCTCTCTCGCTTCTTCTTTCTGATAAACAGGAAGGGAGGTTGTTGGCCCAGAATTAACAAAGACTTAGATGAACCTGATGCATCTACTTAAAAAGTTCCTTGGGTGTATTATACACAGATACCACTGTTGTCTGTGGAAATGAGAGCCCCAGAGGTGTGCAAGCTGGGAGTGTCTGCTCTTCTCTAGGTGTCTGTATTGGTTAGTGTCGTGCTGGAACCAGATGGGCTTTTGGTCTGACCTAGCCTGGCTTTTGTTTGTCATGATTATCATTGCGTTTGTTGCTTCTGAGGATGCAAGTTCCTGTTAAGTGCACGTCAAGCCTGGGAGTTAAGGCAGAAACTGAGGAAGACATGTAGTATTGTATGGAAGTATTACAGGGTTGTTCCCTCTCTCCCTTGAACTCCCTTTGCAGCAGGCCTTTTCTGTTCCTCTTGTACCACTCCTAAGGTATGTCTTTTCTCATATGTCTGTGCTGCAGGAAAATGGGAGTGCCCGTGGCATCAGTGTGATATGTGCGGTAAGGAAGCAGCTTCTTTCTGCGAGATGTGCCCCAGGTCCTTCTGCAAGCAGCACCGGGAAGGCATGCTCTTCATCTCCAAGCTGGATGGACGTTTGTGCTGCACAGAGCACGATCCTTGTGGGCCTAACCCTCTAGAGCCGGGAGAAATTCGTGAGTATGTGCCTCCCATAGGAGCCCTGACTAACAGCGAAGACACCCAGCCACCAGAGCAGCCACCTGCAGACACAGACCTGAGTGTTCAGCCTCTGGACAGCCTACCTCAGTCTGTGGCCCTCAGACTGCAGTCACCAGAAAAACCCCCCGCTACCCTAGCGCTGAAGCTGCCACCATCAGACAAGCCTCCCACCACCCTAGCCTTGAGGTTGCAGCCATCAAACAAGCCCCCCACCACCCTGGCCCTCAGGCTGCCTCCACCAGACAAACCACCCGCCACCCTGGCACTGAGACTGCCACCATCAAATAAACCCCCCACTACCTTGTCACTGAGGCTGAAGCCATCGAACAAACCCCCCACCACCCTCTCGCTCCGGCTGCAGCCTTCAGACAAACCTCCCACAACCCTGTCACTCCGCCTGCAGCCATCGGACAGGCCCCAGGCTGCCCTGTCCCTAAGGCTGCAGTCAGAGAAGCAACCCATCATCGTAGCGCTGAGGCCTCAGCAGCCCGACAAACCTCCCACCAATGCGGTGCTGTGGCCACTGGACGAGTCCTCCAGTGATGCTTCACAGTCTCATCTGCCGAGCAAATCTCCTCCGGGAACACCACAGTCATCAGACGAGTCACTTGTTACTGCTGGTGCCCTGCAGCTCCAGCTGTCGGACGAGCCTCCAGCCGCCCCTGGGGTTTTGGGGTTATCGGACAAGTCTCTCATTGACACCAGGACCCAGCAGCCTGAGCTGCTGGATGAGTTCCCAGTGAAATGCCTGCATCCTCAGCTGTCGGATAGACTTTTCACCACGGTGGGGACCCTGCAGTCCCAGCCAGTGGATGAGCCTCCTGCAGCTGATCAGCCTCAGCCATTTGACAAAGCTTCTGCCCAGAGTCCACAGCTTCGGTCTGTGGAAAAGGCTCCCAGCTCCATGGTGCCACAGGTCCCAGCATCAGAGATGGCTCCTGGTCCTGGGGTGCTGTGGCCTCTGCCCATTGAAAAAGTCCCCAGCTCACCAGTCTCACGGATCCTGCCCGTGGAGAAGGCTTCTGGATCAGCTGTGCCACGGCCGCCACCTCCAGAGAAGGCTTCCTTCTCCAGGGCAGTGCGGGTCCCAGCCATGGAGAATGCTCCCAGCTCTGGGGTGCCCCGTCCCCTGCCTCCGGAGAAGGCTCCTGCCTCGGGGATGCCACGGATCCTGCCCACAGAGAAGGCTCCCAGCTTAGGGGCGCCACGGCCCCTGCCTCCGGAGAAGGCTCCTGGCTCCCGGTCACTGCACATCCTGCCCATGGAGAAGGCTCTTGGCTCAGGGGCCCTGCGGATCCCACTCATGCAGAAGGCACTCACCCCTGGGGTGCTGCGGTCCCTGCCTCCGGAGAAGGCTGCCGACTCCGGGGCCCTGCGGGTCCTGCCTCCAGAGAAGGCGCTCAGCTCTGGGGTGGTTCGGCCTCAGCTCTCGGAGAGGTCTCTCACTCTTACAGCCCCATGGCCCCAGACATCGGACAAGCTGGCTGCTGCCGTGGCTCCTCGGCCTCAAGCCTTGGACAAGCCTCTGGCTGCGTCAGCTCCGAGGCTGTTGCTGTCGGAGAAGGCGCTGCGGCCTGTTGACCAGAATGCTCAGCCGAAGGAGAGAGGAGCCCCAGCTGTGGAGCTGAGTCCCCAGCAGAAAGAGAGGACCATGTTAGCTGGTGAGCAAATCTCTTGGTCTGCTGGGAAGGCGGTGACACATGTTGGACAGGTACCTTGGCCTATGGAGAAACTACAGACGCATGAGCAAACCCACTGGCCTACTGCAAAAGCCCTGATGCCTGCAGAGCAGCCAGCCCGGATAGCAGAGAAACTACCAGAGCCAACCCTTCAACCCAGCTGGGAAGTGGCCTCAGCCCCTGCAGAACAAACCCCTTGGACATCAGAGAGATTGCGTGCATTTGAGCAGACCCCTCGGCCAGCCAGGGAAGCGCCGGTGCCCCCAGAGCAGATGCAGTGGCTTGTCACGAACATTCAGACAATTGACCAGATTTCTTGGCTGAGTGGAAAAGCACAGACTCCTCGGGGGCAGGACCCTTTGCCTGAACAAAACACAGCGCTAGCCCGTAACCAGGATTCTGTCTGTCGTGAGTTGGCCGACTCAGAGCCAAAGTGAGGTTGGTGAATATGGGAGGCAGGTTTCAGTCTTTTAATGTTTAGGGAGGGGGATCTTTGTTTTGTTTTTTTTATTCACTTCCCTGAGCCCAGCCCCTAACCCATGCACATCCCATCCATATTCTCTCGTGACATGAGCAAGGACATTCTCTTAAGTCTGAGTGTGGCCCAGCCGAAGGGAGAGAGCATCCGTGACCTTTTCCTCTTCCTTTTACAAATGGTAAAGCTGAAATAAAGAGTCCACTCTGCGTAAAAATCTCCAATTCCATTTAAATGGTCACATTACTGATCCTACGTGTTCGAGCTCCAGGTCTGATTTGTAGGCAGGTTCCCAGGTACAGCTAGGAGCCTTGCTCTTATTACTGTATTTAGAGGAAGCAGATCAGTCAGGCTGCCCTGGGACTGGAGATGTTTCAGGGATCAGGCGGTGAGCAGTCAGGTGTATGCCCTTGCTGGACTCTGTAGAAGCAGGGAACAGGTTTATCTGTCATCTGCCCAGGTCTCTGTCCCTGCAGAGTGTTGCTTTGCGAGGTTTGACCGTATGTTCACTGGGACATGCTGCGTACGTAGTTCACTGAAGGACAGCTATCGTCTGCAGCTGAGCTGGTATAGGAGCCTGCTGCACTCACTCAGTGCAGTTTTCTCCAGCAATAGACAATATCCATTCAGGCTCCTTTGTACAAAGCTGCGACTGGCCAGGCCCGAGAAACGGGGAATCTGAAGGAGGTCAGGGGAGAGTGTCATCTTGGAAGAAGCCATCTGGCAGTTTTTTCATTCTTGTGTCTTAATCCTTTAGCACAGGACATGCGGAGTGTTTCCTGCACTTGAAAACATTGTGACCTATAAAGCAGCAATAGCAGAGTAGGGCAGAGTGGGTTTCCCCAAGGTGCTGAGCACCATCCTAGCAGGGTGGTGGTGCTCCCTTTCAAATTTCCATCCAGTCTCTTGACTTTTTGTCGTCACCATGAGCCAGCAGACTGAGCAGTCTTTTCTCCCCTTGCCTCAGACATGTTCAGGACGTGTTCGCATCATACCTGGTCTTCCCAGCAGCAGGACGCACTGCTGAGCTGCAAGTGAAGCCTGTACTGTTCGCTACACAGCACGGAGGCAAGGGTGCCGTAGCTGTATCGGGACCCATCTCGACACCTTCCCCTTGGGTAGCTTCTGGCTTAACTCTTCTACAACCAAAGGAGACTTGAATTAACTGGACCGTGTCGGTGTGCGTGTGTGTGTGTGCGCATGTGTGTCCTTCCAACTGAATAGTAGTTCTCACACTGGAAGACGGTGGGTTCCAGCAGCTGGCTGGCTTTCTTTTTTCCTCTTCTCCCTTTTCCAGTTAAGGAGATGTTTAGTACCTGGTGGTCATCAGGCTGGTGTCCAGACTAGGCCTGCTGAAAGCCGTTTACTCAAGCATTGAGGCAGAAGTTCACTTGGCCGTGGTACTCGTGGGGCAAGCGGTAGCATCCCAGGGACCTGCAGAGTGGCGTCTTGCAACCGCCGGCACCCTTGCAGGCAGGAGGAGGATGGGCCTCCCTGGGCAGCACTGCTCGGGCTGGATGGGGTTGGTATCCTGCCAAGGAAGCACTGCTGACCAACACACTCTCCCACTTTCACAACACATTACCTCTGTGGTTTGCCTGAGCTCTGCCGATCCGGGTGCCGCAGCCTCGGATCTCCGTGCCCGCTACCAGACCATTGCACAGCTCCAGCATATCCTTCTGCTTCCAGGCAGATCTGCCAGTCCCTCCCTGGAAAGGGAGCATTCAGCTCCAGGCTGACCCTCTCCCTCTGACGTGGGAGCAGGTCCTTGTTCCCACCTGGTTTGCAAGTGCCTGCTGCTCCCAGAGCAGACAGTCATGAGCTTTGTGGTTTTCTATGAAGGGAGGCAGACACTTGTACTGAGACAAATCCTGATCCATTCTCCTTTCCTGATGTATGCACCCCAAGACAATGTCCTGCTGTGAAGGCCGGGTGTGCTGGGCACGAGGGGACATTACCAGTGCTATGGTGCATCTCTTCTCTAGTCCAAATCATTTCAGATCCTTTGTAGAATAGCTAGCAACTTCAAAAAGCTTTATGGCTTATGGAAACTTACTGTTTAACTTTTTTTTTTTTCCGGGAAGACTGGCAGGTCAGTTCCTGCTTGCTGCTGAAACTGGGGAAATGCAAGCAGCTTGTGTTTCTGCGTGACTCCTGCACAAAGGGAATCAGGACAACTCCTCAGAGCCATTGAGAGAGAAGATAATCTAAGGGCATTCATTAACTTTTTTAAACAAAATTAAAAAAATGGTAATGACGTTCAGTATATTAAGTATTTATCATGTGTGAGAAGGAAAATAAATCTTGAATTTACATTTATAGGCCTTCCCATGAGCTGGACTTAGTCATGTAGATTGTGTAAGTAGGGTAACCTCCGTGCCAGCCACCCAGCCAGCTACAGCTGTAACTAGAAAGGTATCTGCACTGCTCTGTCCACCTCCGCTTCGCATTGTCACGTGTTAACTAGTTACTTGTTTCATGAAAAATAAACTGTGAATATTTTTGGTGCAGGCTTTTTTAAATCTGTAAAATGGAGAAGTTCTCAATGAATTCTCGTAAGTGCAGGTTTGAAAAAAATCACTTCTATAAATCGTGCTCACGTGGTAGGGTGAGGTTCATGGCAGCAGCAGTCTGTCAAGCAGCAAGCTCTTAGCCAAAAGCTTGTTTTGAACAGTGAATGTGGATTGAACTGTTGCATGGCATTTCAAACCCGCAGCCTTATTCCTTGCATCTGACCATACCCCACCTCTCTTGTCTCCCTTAATGCCTTTTCCATGAGGATCCAGGTTTCTGGCTTGCTACCTTCCAGCTACTGTCAGAAAGTTGACTTCAGCGTAGCTGGGAGGCTGCTTAGTAAAATCGGTGTGTGGAAACATCATTGAAGGAGGAAGCCAGCAAGCTGCTCTTCCCTCCTTGCCCTCCTTGGGCCCCTGGGTGATGCTCTGTCAGATCAGGAAGGCTTTTTCAGATATACATGGGGCTTGCAGAGGGAGTAGTGGTGCTGTTAGGAACGGCTGTCTACCTGGTCACTTCAACAAGACAGGTGAGGTCCGACCAGGTGTGGAAATAGGTCCTAGCAGCCCTGCCCTGTGCTGCCCAGCCTGCCTTCATCTGCAGGGAGCATGAGCATGGGCTGAGAAACGGCTCCGGGGAACAAAACCGTTGCGAAGGATATGTGGGCTTCTTTAGCACTTGAGGCAACTCTCGCTGTTGGTGGCAGCTGGTAGCACTGCCTTGGAGGAGGAGAGGGAGATGTCTTGTACTGAGGTAGTTGAGTTAATTTTCTGCAGTTCATTGCTGCTTTCGGAGTTCAGGCAGTTTGAATCAGTGGGTTTTTTTAAGGTAGAGGAAAGCAACAGATAACACGTACTCCTGGCAGACTGCTCCTGCTGGAGAGAGGCTGCTGCTGCTCTGCTCCAGCCTCCCCGAGCTCTTGCTCTGGGCTCGGCCATGTTTGCTGCAGCTCTGTGGCCAAGGCCATGGTACTTTTTTGCTGCGTTGGAGGGATCTGATCACCTGGCCACTAACAGTCTTGGCTCAGCCATAATTGCACCCAGGGTGGGCGAGAGGTGACTCTGGTGTTGATTCACTGTTGCGGAGAGTTGTAGAAGCAGAATCAAGGGTGTAATTATTTCTGCTCAGAGCTGTGTTCCTTTCCCTGCTGTCCCAGGGAAGCTCATGAGCCTGTTCCCACTTGCAGGAATGGCTTCCCTTCCCAGTTCTGAAGGGGATGAAGGATTTGCTCCCATACAAATGCTTCACTGATCAACATCCTTGCTGTCAGGATTGCCTGGATGCCCCTGCTCAGAGCAGTGGGCTGGGGCCACTGGCTGTGGCCTCCGTCCCACAGTGGGCCCCACTTCAGTGGTGGATTTTCACGGTGGGCAGGAGGGTCCCAGTTGACCTTTGGTGATGGAGGAGCTCTGGTGAGGGGTAACAGCGTGGTCAGGGACTCATGTGGGCTCAGGCTGCCTGCCCAGGCAGGGGAGGAGGGTTGCAAAGGGGGAGCCACTGCAGGACCTGTGGGACCCCTGGGCAGGAGAAGAGCAGGCACAGGTTGCTGTCCTGCTTGTCTTGTCCCATCTGCACCAGCTGGCTGGGCTGGTGCCCACTGTCAGCCAAGGCTCTGGAGAATCTAGGAGAAAAGTGACCACTGTAAGGAATTATCTCCTACTGCACATCTTCACATGCCAACTAGCTCGTGGTAGCTTGCTTTATTGCTGTTCTCAAGTTAAAACTTTTCCTGTTTAACAAAAAAAACCCCACAAGAACCAGACTCACTTCAATGCACAAAGTATTCAGGTGGTACTGTGGGAGCATGCGTTATAATTCAGGGTTGACCCCCCCCCCCCCACAGGCACAGGCTTCGTTTTGAAGGTGTGTGGCTGTTGTAAAAATTCAAGAGGGGAGATGGTTGAATCTAAAAGACAGAAATGTACTAAGGTGAGATAATGCTGATTGAGGGTGCTAGAATTGCTTCAGCTCAGTTTCACGGAAAAAAAGGAAGAAAAATCAAGAAAAAGCAGCCCTAACCCTGATGTATCTCAGCAGCAGTTTAACCTGAGCACGCTGTGGATGCGCGCTGCTCCTACCTGGATCCCGCTGCCAGCATTGTGACAGGGCAGGGGGAGTTTGAGAAACCTCAGACCTCCAACACCTGTTTATTTTTAATTTCAGCCTTAACTTCTGATTTTGCTTGATGTTTGGAATAACCATAATTGTAACCTGCTTGTAATGTGCTTTGCCCTAAATTACTGATGAGGCTTTCAGCCTTTGCCAGCCAGTGAGTGTTAAAGCAAAGTAGCAAACCGTGCAGCTGCTCTGAAAGTATGGAGGGGGCCGGCAAGGGCTTGCAGCATGTTTGATCACCTGGGCTTTGTCTGCTAATTACTGCCCTGTGATAGTGATAACGCCGGTGGCAGCATTTGCAGCCGAGGCTGTGCCTCTTGCAGCAGCACAGCTGGGCTGATGGGTGCTCAGGACTCCCGGAGCTTGGGGACCGCTCCGCTGCTTGCCTGGCTTCAGCGGGAGTCTCGCCTGTGGGGTGGCAGTGCCCTCGCTTAGCAGGAGGTGGGAAAAGGCAAGATTTCTGCTCCGGGTCCTCCAAAAGCGATCTAAACAAAGTCCAGTGCAGGGGGACGTCATGCACGATCTTGGGCTGGGGAAGTGGCGGTGATGGACAGTCCCTACAGCACTGAATCTACCTCCTAGGGAAATCTGAGAAATGGGTGTTGCTATGTCCTATTTCAAGGTAAAGTTTTAATCAGTTTGCCCTTGGCAAAGCACTTGGGCTATTGTGGTGCTATTGTAAACCGTTTGGCAGCTTAGCACAGTAGGGCTGAACTCACGACTCCTAGCCCGTGGGTGGAGGTTCCTTCGCTGGCTGAATCCCGTCCCCTGATAGCTGGTGCTGGGCTTTGGCATGCGTGATGGAACCAGGACGAGGCGTGACTCGGTTCCTTCAATTTATGATGGTTTTGAGACTCAAACCAGTGTGCCAGTGGGCCCCGCGGGTGTAGGGAGCGAGTAGAGCCACGTGAAGCAAGGCAGGCGTCCGCTAAGTGCATGTTCTTTGTGTCCGTTTGGTACTGAGCTGGTTTCAGTTTTTGTTTTTTTCTGATGTTTCTGAGTTGTTGACTTCAAGGAACTGGGTTTTGTGTATTTTTTTAGACACTGGGAACTTGTTAAAAGGAAAAGCAGCAGCACCGGGAGGCTCAAGGTGGAGCGTGGCTGGAGCTGAGGGCAGCCCTGGCCACTGTGGGTGGGAGGAGGTCAGGTGTGTCGGCAGCGGCTGGCACAGGCAGGGAGCAGCTCTCCCTGCAACAGGCAGGAGAAGCCCTTCAGCAGTGGTGCTCCCGGCCCTGCTTAATTGCGGTGACGAGTTCACCGCTCCGCCAGCCTGCTCACCTCCAAGACACCGAACGCATCAGATACCGCGTCTGGCTTTGAACGTCCCGTGCCACCTTCCAGTGCCACATGCTCTCGGCTGGGGTCCTGGCTGCCGGCTAGGCTGGGGGTCCCAATGAGGGTGGCCCTGGCTGCCCGCTCCCCCTTCCTCACTGCCTGGGGACGGGGAGGAGGGACACAGGGGGGCCACCCGTGGCAGTGGCGTAAGTTGCGCTGAAGCTGTGAGTGGAAGTTTGCTCAGAGAAGGGGGGAAGCCTTGGTGTGAGCAGCCCCACGCTGCGTTCCTCCACCACTGAGGTCTGCTGCCCGCGGGGTGGTGGCAGAGGGGAGTCCCCCGCAGAGTCTTGTCCCGCAGGCTCGGCCAGAGGGAAACGCAGCGGGAGTTGAGGTGCCTAGCTGCAGCTGTGGGTGGGTGCCGGGGTGGTGGCTGGGGTGACCACTGTGTGGAGGACGTATGGGTGCTCGGCCCTGGCTGGGACTCTGTCGGTTCTAAGCAGGGATGCCAGAGCGGGTGAGAGAAACCTACATATTTCCAGCATGTATATTATTTTTAGAAGAGGGAGAGGGGAGTCTTGGACCATTGATTACTTTCATTTTGCTCCCCTTAGACTGTTGGCTGTGTATGTGAAACTTATAATGAAAAGAGGGTTGCCCTGCCCAGGTGCTCCCAGAACATGTACTGTAATTCTTTGTATATAGAAGAAAAATTACTGTAAAGTAAAGTTTAACTTTACTCTCGATGTCCTCTTGTGGTTTGTCTTGCCAAGTGGGAGGGCGTGGGGGGAGCCCGGCTGTGCCCAGACACCCGGGGCAGGGAAGGGAGAGCTCCGACAGCCTTGCACGGCAGCGGCGCAGGCAGGGGGACAGCTCAGACCACAATGCGTTTTATTTACATTGTACACCTCGAGAGAAGACGCTTAAATAAATCTGCAAAGTATCAGGCAGCATCTCCGAGAGATAAGTTAATGGCTGCCGCTGGATCACAGCAGTGACTCTGGGAAGCAGCTCCTGCAGAAGCCGGCTGGCAGGGAGAGGGTCCCTAGGGGTGATGGCCCATGGCTTCTGGCACCACAGGAGGCTCCCGGCACCACACGGCAGCCCTCTGCCGCTCCGCACACCGGGAAGAGAGCAGTCCGTGGGGCTGCGCGCCGCTGCTGCGTTGCAGATGGGCCCATACAGCTAAAACACAGCAGGTAAAAAAATGGAGGAGTCTGGCGTGCACCGGCTGCCCGGCCGGCAGCAGCAGTTCCCTTTTGGCAGGAGGTCTCAGTGGTGGCAGCAGCTGTAGAAGTAGGCGCCACTCCTCTGGCCCAGGTCAACACCTTTCTCCTCTGGAAAAGAGCAGGGGTGGCAGGCTGCTGGCACATCCACACACACAATGCCATGTGGGAGCCCAAAAGCTGCTGGTGCCAGGCCTGGGCCCTGGCAGGTCCCTTGGGGAGGGGTTTGGTGCCCCCGCAGAAAAGCGGTAGGGCTCACGGCTATGGCACAGCCCAGGGCTGGAGGCGTAGCCGGGCTGAGCACGCCTGGACAGGCCTGGTGCAGAGCTGAGAGCCAGTCTCACAGCCAGGCAAGGTCCCTGGCTGCCTGTCTGCCAAAGGCCACCCGTGGCCCAGTTGGGTGGATGTGCTGAGCCTGGCCTGAGTGGAGACAAGGACGTCGTGAGGGGACCCAAGCTCCACAGGACAACCCCCGGCACGGAGCCGCAGCGGCCCCAGGGAAGGTGGGGGCAAAGAAGTGCCCTGCCAGATGTCACAGCACTCATCTTCAGCACCCTCCCCACGGCACGTGCACCCCCCTGGCATGGGTAAGGGTGCTTGGGGAGGGATGGATCCTGCCCACTCACCTGTCATCACCTGGAAGGCGGTGAAGTGGACGTAGTCCTCAGCCACCTTCTGGAACAGCTCATCTGCAGGGAGAGCAGGCAGGGTGGGTGCAGGTAGTCCCACTGCCTGGCAGAGCCCCCCCCAACCCTGCTCAGGCAGGGGCATGGCCTGCTACTCACCCACGCTCTGGCCCGTCTTACTGGAGGTCTCGAAGAGCTCTGCCTTGATCTCTGAAACGAGGCCCCGGGTTAGCGCCTGCTGCGGGTGCAGGATGCAGCCCCGCAGGCTCACCTGCCCCCGGAGTCACCCCCTCAGGCACGGCTGCTGACAGCGGGCTGGCAGGGACCCAGGGTCCCGTCCCCTTGGCCCAGCTGGCCACGTGCCTGCCCGTGTCGGGACATGCTGTGCCCAGGGAGGTCCCTGGCAGATCCAGGGCCACCACCGCACAGGGAGCCCTGGTGTCTGGAGCCATTCGATCCACTGTGGGTCCCGGGCAAGGGCAGAGCACCTCACACCTCCCAGGCACGCATGGATACAGAGCTGCACCCCCTCTCGCCCCCCACCCATTTGGTGCTGCGGGAGCCCGGGAAGGGCCAGCACTGCCCAGCCGCAAGCATCCCGGCCCCATGCAGTGCCCGGCCGTACCGTCAGCGTAGTCCTGCACGTCGTGGAAGTCAACCCCCCGCTTCCTCCTGTCCTCTTCCAGCAAGTCGCTCTTGGTGCCACACAGGTAGATCCGGCAGCCCTGCGGCAGGCAGAGGGGCAGGAGGGATGCACCTGCCGACCTGGCACAGCCACCAGCTCCCCTTCCCTGCCGGTGAGGCTCCGCAGCCCCCCCCAGCCCCCTCAGCCCGGCCATACCTCCTCGCAGTTCTGCAGCTCGTTCACCCAGAACTTGGCTCGCTGGAAGCTGCTGCTGTCGGTGAGATCTGGGGGAGAGGGTTCAGGGTCTGTCCCCTCCCTCCTGCACCCACCCCGTGCCACGACGCCTGACCCACTGGTGCCGATGCTGGCACCAAGTCAGCCCGGGACCTTCGCGGCTGCCGGCTCCTTCCTCTTCGTGCGGCATCGTGCCCTTACCGTAGCAGACGACGGCGGCCCGTGCCCCACGGTAGTAGATGCGGCTCATGGCCTCATAGCGCTCCGAACCAGCCGTGTCCTGGGGGTGGCAGGGAAGCACTCAGCCGGTGGGGGGGCATCTCGGGGGTCCC